CAACTTTAACAGCTGACTTTTGCTGAAAGAACAAAAGTGAAAAATCTGTAGAAAAATAACTAAATCAAAAAAGTTGCATTGTTATAAAATAGCTAAAGCAGCTGAAATTAGTAGAAAAAGAGCTAAAAATCAGAAATTAGAAGAAAAAAGCAGAAAGCACGTTTGCTGCATTTAGCAATAAAAAGCTGAAACTAAAAAGTGAATTTAGCTGAAAAAAGCTAGAATTAGTTGAAAATAGCTAAGAAGTTGCTAAATTAACAGGAGTAGCTAAAATGAGCAGAAAAAAGATGATAAAGCAGGGAAAAAACTTATCGCAAAAAAAGAAGCAAAACAAGCTTAATTCAGCTCAAACAAGTTAAAAAAGCAAAACCAAAGACAAAGTTAAAAGTTCAGTAAAGATTTATAAAGGCTTTAATGTGTTTAAAGTTGAGAATGAATCAATGAGAAGAAAATGGCCTAAAAATTACCTCCAAAAGTATAAATTACTGAAATATCAGAAGCCATATCAGGAATGTCCTGAAGGAGCTGAACGTTTTGATACATTAATTGCTTAAACAGCACAGAAATTGAGGAACAAGATACAGAAGAAAAAAGATATGGAAGAAAAGTGGATCATCTCACTTGTGTGAATGTCTGACAGGCATTCATATAAATACATAAACATATACAGTAGAAGAGTTTATGGTAACATAACAAGAAAAAGACAAGAATGTCAAAAATAAGAGCAGTTAAATAAAGAGATTAAAACCTTTTCACATTATTTGTTGTCATAATTAGGGGAAGGATTGTCAGGAGGAACCGGTCTCTGAGTCTTTCTCCTCACCTCTCTCACAGCTTGGGAGGTCACCACTCCAGGTGAGGTCCCACTGACACATGAGCAGCTCAGAGCCCACTACCTGGAAACCTGGGTAACACTGGTAGGTCACCACGGTGCCCTGGACCAGGTCAGGGTGAGAGGAACTCTTCCAGCCGTTAGAAATCTCAGGGAGCTCAGGGCAGGTGTCGTTACGAGCCACTTCTGCAGGAACAAAGGGAGAGGTCAGGATTCAGACAGAATCAGAAGACGACAAAAAAAAATAATAATAAAAACATCTGAGAGGTCTTCAAACATGAGCAGCTGATAAAATAAAGTGGAAAAACACTGTCAGGTCTGAGGAGTCTCAGTTCACTGGACTCCAGTGGGTTTCCATCCAGAAGCTCTGGGATGTGTTGGACTAACAAGATAAATCTGTGTGATTCTATCATGTCCACATGGACCAAAGTCTCTGCGGAAGGCTACCAACCTTTCTGTTTGTCACGAAGAATTAGGACCGTTTTACAGAGTCCCCACCTTGTACCATGAAAGGATACCTGATGAAGTGCTTTTGAAAATGGCAGTGGTGGGCAGCAGTAATCCATTGACAGTGGTGGGCAGCGGTAATCCATAAATTAGCTCCGCAACTTCTAAAGCGCTTATGAAAATATTTAGGTCCGAAACTTCAAAAACACTTATGCCATAGAAAAACAAGCGAAAGCTGATTTTAAAGCACAAGTTCAATTTGACACTTASTAGCTGGCAATAATTCATGTCCAATGTATATACAACACAACACTGTCAACTAACGGTGTATGAACTCTTTTACAGCTTAATTCTACAACCACTGATTGCTGGGGATGTGAT